GAGGAAATGAAATGTCCTTCAGAGAGAGCAGTGATCTCAGGCTCACAGAGAAGCCCAGACAGATAGACAAGAGGAGGAGGAGGAGGAGGAGGAGGAGGAGGAGGAGGAGGAGCTTTACCCACTGCTGGACTCTCTCTCTCTCTCTCTCTCTCTCTCTCTCTCACAGACACACAGACGTGATCTCTCTCAGAGGACCAGGAGGAACATCCAGACGGAGCGTCTTCTACCACCAGGACAGGTAAAGACCTGACCCTACAGGTTGTCCTCAGTGATGTCATCATGATGTCATTATGACATCATCACTACAGATTAGTTCGAGGGAACACGCACACACGCACACTATTGAAAAAAATGTCTCCACAACAAATTTAAGATAAAAAAAATGTACAAATAACTTTAGTCCTGAAGTTGATGTTACATCGTGTTACATCGTGTTACATCGTGTTACATCGTGTTACATCAGGTGTGATATTACTATAGCTGAAGGTTGAGCTCTTCCACCTGATGTCCATCCGTCTCTGAAGTCAAACCCAGGACTCAAACTAATCTTCACTGCAGTTTTGGAAACGATCAAATATTTCTGTTATAAAGTTTTTATTCAAATCTGATTTTCACAGCGCTCCGTCTCTCACCGTGGACGTCTCAGGGATTTCCTGCCAGCGTCCACAGACAAACAGATTAGGGATTAGGGATTGAGGACTATAAAGTGAGTGTGTCTGAGCCTGTGATGGACGGACAGTCGGTGGAGGACACCAGGCCTCACCTCCGTGATTGTCGTTCTTCTGTTTTGGGTTCAAAACTCAGCTGTCAGCCTTCAAATCTGTATGGTGCCACCTAGTGGCACACTTTCTACTGACTGTCTTTACCACTGGTCATTGTTTCACACTGTCTTCTTCTTTTGTGTGTTCTGTCGCTGTCCGTGGTGCTGAAGTCTTTCCTTTCAGTCATGGACGTCGCCCCTCGTCCCCTCTTGTTGGTTTACACATATTTGGCCGCTGCTCTGATTGGTGGAGCTCACTTGGAGAGTGTGTGTCTTCAGGATGGCGTGCACAAGGCCACACCCGGACCAGAGCGCCACCTGGGGGAGTGTGCGTTATATGCTGACAGTAGGTGACCTCAGTGCTGACCCCCGCGGTGTGAACCTGCTGAGGTGAAGTCGTAGAAAGACATTTTTCTGTCCTTGGTTTTCACAGACAGCTGCTGCTCAGGAGACGACATCCGGGACATTTCCCACGTTCCCTCTGCCGCCAACAGCAATGAACCCTGGGACAAATGTGGGCCAATCAGCTCTCAGTGAGTCTCAGCTGTGACACACACAGACTCCTCTGATAAACAGGTTGATGGTTTGAAATTCAATTAGCATCTTCAGACTGAGCAGTTCTCCACCTGACGCTGCAGCTTCATGAAGACTCTCTAACCCTAACTCTAACCTAACTCTAACCTAACTCTAACCTAACTCTAACTCTAACGCTAACTTAACTCTAACCTAACTCTAACCCTAACCTAACTCTAACCTAACTCTAACTCTGACTCTAACCTAACTCTAACCTAACTCTAACTCTAACGCTAACTTAACTCTAACCTAACTCTAACCCTAACCCTAACTCTAACTCTAACCCTAACTCTAACCTAACTCTAACTCTAACTCTAACTCTAATTCTAACTCTAACCTACCTCTAACTCTAACCTAACTCTAACCTAACTCTAACTCTGACTCTAACCTAACTCTAACCTAACTCTAACTTAACTCTAACTCTAACTCTAACCCTAACCCTAACTCTAACTCTAACTCTAATTCTAACTCTAACCTACCTCTAACTCTAACCTAACTCTAACCTAACTCTAACTCTGACTCTAACCTAACTCTAACTCTAACTCTAACCCTAACCCTAACCCTAACCTAACTCTAACCTAACTCTAACTCTGACTCTAACCTAACTCTAACTCTAACTCTAACTCTAATTCTAACTCTAACCTAACTCTAACTCTAACGCTAACTTAACTCTAACCTAACTCTAACCCTAACCTAACTCTAACCTAACTCTAACTCTGACTCTAACCTAACTCTAACTCTAACTCTAACTCTAACCTAACTCAAACCCTAACTCTAACCTAACTCTAACCCTAACCCTAACCCTAACCTAACTCTAACCTAACTCTAACTCTGACTCTAACCTAACTCTAACTCTAACTCTAACTCTAATTCTAACTCTAACCTAACTCTAACTCTAACGCTAACTTAACTCTAACCTAACTCTAACCCTAACTCTAACCTAACCCTAACCTAACTCTAACCTAACTCTAACCTAACCCTAACCTAACCCTAACCCTACCTCTAACCTAACTCTAACTCTAACTCTAATTCTAACTCTAACCTACCTCTAACTCTAACCTAACTCTAACCTAACCCTAACCTAACCCTAACCCTACCTCTAACCTAACTCTAACTCTAACCCTAACTCTAACATAACTCTAAACTAACTCTAACTCTAACTCTAACCCTAACTCTAACCTAACCCTAACCCTAACTCTAACTCTAACTCTAACTCTAATTCTAACTCTAACCTAACTCTAACTCCAACCCTAACTCTAACTCTTTTCTCCTCAGGTGTGAGGGTTTCCTTAAGCGTGTGTCCTGCTTCTACCGCTGCTCCCCCGACGCCGCCCGCTGGCCTCACCCCCATCAGCGCTCCTACATCCAGGCTGTGCCGCTCTGCCACAGTTTCTGCCGTGATTGGTGAGGCTGCCACCATGTGGTGCTGAGCCAAATTACAGAGCCGTTGACCAATAAGAATGTGGTGACACCAACAGCTTCAGTTGGAGAGGGTCCAATGACCTGACAACATGAGACCCCGATGACATCATCAGCCTGGGACTCACAGTCTTTTCACTGTCTCCAGGTTTGACGCCTGCAGGATGGACGTGACCTGTGCTCGGAACTGGGCCACAGACCCCAGGGGCCAGAACTGCACCGGAGCCTGTGTTCAGTACCAGCAGGTAGGTCCTGAGCCCGTGTTCACAAAATCAAAACTGCGAGCTTCCAGTAGAGGGCAGTATTTAACCCTCAGCCACTCTATAACATTCTCCTGCTGTTGAAAAATGAAAATAAAAGCCCCAGAACTGAGCAGAACTGAGGTGTGTAACAGCAGGGGTGTAACAGCGGGTGTGACACCAGGGGTGTAACAGCAGGTGTAACAGCAGGTGTAACAACAGGAGTGTAACAGCAGGTGTGTAACAGCAGGTGTGTAACAGCAGGGGTGTAACAGCAGGTGTAACAACAGGGGTGTAACAGCAGGTGTGTAACAGCAGGTGTGTAACAGCAGGGGTGTAACAGCGGGGGTAACAACAGGGGTGTAACAGCAGGTGTGTAACAGCCGGTGGGTAACAGCAGGGGGGTAACAGCAGGGGTGTAACAACAGGGGTGTAACAACAGGTGTAACAGCAGGTGTAACAGCAGGTGTAACAACAGGGGTGTAACAACAGGTGTAACAGCAGGTGTAACAGCAGGTGTAACAACAGGGGGGTAACAGCAGGTGTAACAGCAGGGGGGTAACAGCAGGGGTGTAACAACAGGGGTGTAACAACAGGTGTAACAACAGGTGTAACAGCAGGTGTAACAACAGGAGTGTAACAGCAGGTGTGTAACAGCAGGGGTGTAACAGCGGGTGTAACAACAGGGGGGTAACAGCAGGTGTAACAGCAGGGGTGTAACAGCTAGGGGCAGAATTGGATCAGAAGAGGACAGACAACTGCCCCAGGAGACAGTGTCCGTACGTCTGTCACAGTCCGTCAACAGTAAAGTTCAAGTTAGTGAATGAATCAGTGACTAAATCAGACCGAGTCTCAGTGTATGTGTGAGTGGGGGGCGTGGTCCCAGATCTTAGTGGCCAATCACAGCAGTTGGCCTGAGTGCATCTGTCTCAGAACTTTTTGACTCACTGTGTGTGTGTGTGTGTGTGTGTGTGTAGATGTACCAGCACGGCAGGGATCTGTGTGAGAGCCTGTGGGGCGACGCCTTCATGACAGTGGAGGACGACACGGACGACACGGGGGAGGCCGCGCAGGCCGCAGGGGAGGGCGATGGCGGTCGACCCTGCGGCTGCCTGACCCTCAGCCCGTCGGACAAGGATGTGATGGCCGCTCTCAGAGCTCGGCAGGACGACCCAGAAGAGCTGGACACCACCAAGGCTGACCTGCCTCAGTACCGAGCCCCGTGCCGGACCAAGATGGCCGACAAGGACAAGGAGGAACGGAAGAAGAACACGGTGCTGCGCAAACGCTCACTGATGGTGGAGGACGTGGAAGGAAGTGGGAGTGGCTTGTAGAGGAGGGGAGAGAGTGGGAGAGAGAGAGCAGTTTAATTAGCGTTAATTGTCTAAACATCTGTGTCCGTATCTGTGGAGTTCTAACCTCGTTCCTGTAGTAAACTTCATCACTTTAACGTCAGCAGCAGGTCAGGTGATGATGACATCACAGGTCAGGTGATGATGTCAGTGATCAGCAGCTTCATGATCTGCTCTGAGGTTTCTGTTTCCTCCAGTATCTCATCAATAAAGACGTCCTAAAGGTCACTCTGAGGTCACAGCTGTTTACTGTAGAATAGAACGCTGACGGGTCACGACCAGAACCAGTTTGGTGTTGGTTCTTGGAGACGTCTCTCCACAAAGACCCAGGTGAAATAGATACCAGGGGAATTCAATGAAGTCAGAATCCTCAGAGGAGCAGTGAGCGCCCTCTGCAGGCAGAAATGCCAAACAATTCACATGGTCCTGTGGAAGGAAAAACAGCAAGGCACTAAAACTGGAATCAGTACTGTACAGTACCACAGCACATCAACGGTTCCAGTGTAGTGAACTGTACCAGTAAAGAGGACTGGAAAATAAAAGGGCAGTTTCAAAAGTTTTGGATTAAAAATAAAATGTAGACATAGTTTAACTACTAGGTTAGTTAACAGTTAATCTCTCTCCTCAGAACAGCTTCTGTACAAAGACAGAACTTCATACAAGTACTACAAGTACTACAACTACAGTAACTACAATAACTACTACAGTAAGTACCAAACAGAGAAAATTCCAGACATAGTTTTCCAAGATCCCATTTATTTGTAGTGCAAAAGAGTCAAAGAGGACTACAAATCTTCTCCCGGTCTCAGACGGCTGCGTCAGAGTACCATGTGCTGTAACCTCCAGGACCAGTATATTCAAACACCACCAAAACCAAACTTACTTCGACCTTATTCCAGCCGTGCACATGTGCAGCAAAGTTCACACAACACCATAAATGTCAAGTTAAAATAATCCCCACCAGCAGGAGGTGCAGGAGGTGCAGGAGGTGCAGACCACAGCAGGATCTGGTCTCTGTAGGTTACAGCAAAAATATTGACAGGGTAAAAACAGCAGCTTTGATAAAGAGTCACAACAAAAAACAAAAACAAAAACAGCAGATTTGACTGAAGGCCGAGGAGAGACCACTGAGCTGGACCTCCGCAGACCTCCTGTCCCATCAACAATTCCAGGGAGGTGATAAAATATTCCAGTTGAACGGGGGGAGGAGGGGGGAGAGAGGGGAGCACGTAGTGTTTTCTGTTTCTCCAGGTTTGTGATGAAGAAGCAGCAGCTTTTAGTTTGTGTGCGACAAGGTCCGACCCACGACGGTCCGGTCCGGTCTCAGAGCAGGAGGTCCATTAAACAGGAGTCAGACGATCAGCAGTTTTTACACGGACTGTTCTGTTGTTGCTGTGAGGAACTTCACGTCTCTCAGTAAAAACAGTCACAACCCAGAGAAAGTGCTTTGGATTTTAGATGAAAAAATCTTAGTGTGACTAACAAGGGTTAGAGCAACACTGAAGTGACACAGGAGAAGAAGAGTCAACACACTCACCAGAGCAGAGAAAAAAAAAAAAAAAAAAACACCAGACATTTGAAAAGACCTTAACTAACTGACTGACTGACTGACTGACTTTCTCCTCGGTCTGTAACTTTAAATGAACTCTAATCTGCCACGTCCATAACATAGTTCACAGTAGAGTGTGGTGTAAAACCAGAAGTAAAACCAAAGGTTTATAAAAACTGTCTGAGGAAACAACAGTCACCTTAAAAGGTGACTATGTGACTTCACTCTGACGTCATCGTCATCATCTGACGTCATCACCTCAGAGGAGGAAACGCGGTTGTGTTTCCTCCTCTGAGGCACAAAACAAAAACAATATGTACCATAAAGAGCCAGCAGGGGGCAGCAGCAGCATTGAAACAGTGTCCTTGAGGTGCAGCATACAGTGAAGGTTTAAAGGCAACATCTGAGGTGAACTGCCCCCCCCCCCCCGCCTGTCTGACTTATTATTCTTTTATCTGGGGTGGGGTCGCAGCAGGCCCCTCCTGGCGTTGGTTGACTGTCTCTGCTGGGCGAGGAAGGACATGGCCTGGTTGGAATGTCCCACACGCTCGGCTCACGCCGTGCGCACCGGCGGCGGCATGGGCGTGGTGGGGGGGGGGGGGGGGGGGGGGGACAGAGAGATTTTATTTGGAAAAATGATTCTCTCAGTGACAAATTCCTTTTAACACATGTAAATATCCTTCAAAATAAAAGTCTTTGGAGAGTTTCTTCAAAATAAAATGAGAGAATAAATGGAAACGGCATTAACAGTGACTACTAGTGGCTGTCTCTGTGAATAACACGGAGTTCAATGTTACAGTGAGTTTCAGATATTTACGACTTTTATTTTGTAATATCAGATGGATATGGTTTGGTCTGGTGGCTTTTTCTAAGAATGTTTATAAACATCAGTGACCTCTGACCTCTGTTTTGGTGTGTCAACCCTCACCATGTTGTACCAGGCACTGATGATGAGCTTCTCCTCCTGGTCGTGTCTGGCTCTGCTCCCCCCCCCCCCCGGCTGAGGAGACACACAGTCTCAGCTTCTCTCTTCAGAAAACACACACACACACACACACACACATCTATATATATATATATATATTTATGCAGTAACTGTTCTCACCTCCAGGTGATGGATCTTTCTGTCCTTCTCCGTCAGCTGGTTCTTCAGAGCCTGAACCTGAATGTCAGGATTCTTGGTGGCCGCCGGCTGATTGGAGTCCAGGGTTTTGATCACCTGCAGGTGAGAGAATGTAACTGCATTGACATGAGTGGTGATGAAACCTGAGGCAGTGGTCCAACTAATGTCCCACAGACAAACGGAGGGACGGATGAATTCACTGGAGTCAGTGATGAAGAATGAGAGCAGGAAGCTGTTAGCCTGGTGGGCTAATATCATCGGCTAACAGGCTAAACATATTAGCCTGACCAGAGCAGATCTTCAGGTCAGGGGTCAAGTCCAGAGATCGTGGTCATCTGACGTCAGCTCTTCATTCTGGAGAACTGACAAACAGCTGAATCCACTCCAAAGTTTTCATCTCCTCACCCTCACAAACACAGATGAAGATGAAGACATCTTCATCTTCATCTGTTAAAGTTCACCGTGAGTGAGAACTGGACGCTTCTCCAGGTGGGACTGACCGTTCTGGCTTTCTCCACGTAGAGTTTGTACCGTTCCTCCATCTGCTTCATGTCCTCGTCCTTCTTCCGCAGGATCTCCTGGAGTTCATCTATCTTCTTCGCCACTGAGAGGAGCATAAGAGTTTAGAGGAGGAGGAGGAGCGTGGATGATGAAGAGTGGACATTTGTTTGACTCACTGTTGCCGTCCACTTTAGGCTCCAGGTCATCAATGACTTCTTTTTTCTTCTGGAGATCAGACTGAGCTTCATGGAGCTTCTCTCTACAAAAACACCACAGTGACAGTACAGTACAGAAGTACGCAGTAGAAAACACGGTGTACTACTCACTGAAGTACTCACAGATGTTCCTCCAGCTTCTTCTTCAGTAAGGAGGACTGAGACAAACAGGAAGACAAAAACACACATGTCAAACTGTGGAGGTTGAAAGCACAAAACACAGAGTAAAGGTCAGAGGTCAATCATGGCCCAGGTGGTCAGCAGGTGGGCCGTACTTACAATGGCCTGATTTTGGCAGAGTTGACCGATGGGGGCGGGCGGAGAAAGACAGACAGACAGACAGACAGAGGACAGGCGTTAACAGTGATTCACCACAGCACACTGGGCTACAGTCCCACACAACAACCAGTAGAGGGCACACTGTGGACCTCATCAGCTCAGGCTGCTGGAGCGCTAACGTTGTTAGCTTTGAGGTCAGATGTAGACACACGTTAACGGTCAAGAGCTGTGAAGTGAAGAAGGGTTAGGTGTGAAGACCCCCCCCTCGCCCCCTCCCCGACCCCTCCCTCACCCCTGTCACCCCCCCACCTCCACTCACATCTTCTGTTTTGCTGTCCTGCTCCTGCAGAGTTCTCTGGAGCTCCTCCACCTGAGAACGCAGCTCCATGATCTGCTGCTCGTTCAACCTGGGCCACAGTTAAACAGAGGAAAGACACACATTAGGCCAAGAAAATGAAGGGGGGGGGGTACTCTGAAATGAATGAAAGGCAGAACCATGTCCAGCAGACCTGGGTGGATGAGAACGTTGTTGACAACCAGTTTTTTTTACATTTACTTTAAATACGTGGAGAAACAGTTCAAACACAGGATCAGCTCGACCAATCACAGCTCTGCTCCACTGGGCATGCTCAGTCCTCTCCTCCTGTCACTGTTGCTGAGGATGCTGCCTACACCCTGGACCTGGTGTGGTAATACACACGAACAGTCCACCCACATGTCCACATGTCCACATGTCCACACACACAGATTGAAGGGACAATCTGGCTTTTTTCTGTCACTCCTCCTGTGCAGCCCACACAGTCCAGAGGGTGAGTTGACATTTAGGCAGACAGTTCCACTGCCATCAGCCAAAGAAGTAGTTTAACCTGC